TAGTAGTATAGATTCCCAACTTTGGGGAATCTACTTTCTAGATATTTCCGGGGGTTTGCGGAGCTCGATATGCGGTCGCCGGAGCCCTGATCTGAACCCTGCTTGATACCCAGCAGGTAAAAATGAAAAAAAGGGGGGGACCAGTAATTCAGACACTGCAACGTAGTTTCCGAAAACAGGATACTAGGATCCTGATTAGAAGGACCCCAAAATAAGGCACCCCCCCCATATTTTCGGTAGTAAGCACCGCTGAAATGCCTAGGGCTGTGCAGCCTCGCGAGCTCTCAACTCCTAGACTTTGGGTTTCGGCTGTGGGGTTCGATGTTCAGATATGGAGCTGAAGTTGAGGGTTTGGGGATCTGATTTAGGCGTACCCAGGGACTCCAATATCCCTTAATTAAGGAATATACCCTAAATTATAGTAGGATCCCTAATATGATGCAAGGAATATTCCTTAATTAAGGGATATTGGAGTCTCTGGGTAGTTTAACGCTAGGGTTGCGCTCCAGACTGAACTCCAAACCGCCTCAACTAAGCAAACTCTAGCCACAGGTATACTTCTACTCCACAATGAACCCTCAATGCCCCTAAACCCGAACCCCTGAACCCTAAACCGTGCCACTCACTCCCTGAACCCTGGGAAAGAACCCCGGGTTCCCGTGTTGCCTATAGACCATTTATATATGGGAGTTTCCGAAAATTAGGGGTACCTTTTTGGGAGTCCTTACGATGAGGATCCTACTATTTAGGGTTCTATATTACAGTAAGATCCCCCATTTTCGGAAACCACCATATGGGTGGCTGTCAGAATTATGGCCCCTTTCTGGGTACCCTAAACCTTAGGTGCCGTACTATAATAAGGACCCGAAAAGGAACCCTGCTTTTGACAACCACCCATATATCAACAACAACCACTCTAAAGGAATCTCTGAAACAGTTTAGGGTTTAGGGCAAACCCTGCAGCAGAAATCCACGAGCCCTGCAAAGGACCGATCAAAAGCACAAACTATCAAACTCTAAAAGAGGCCTCTAGCCCCCCGGTTTAGGGTTAAGGGTTTAGGGTTTAGGGTTTAGGCCCACATCCATGTAAATCGCAAACCCCGATCAAGTCCTAATCTTGGTGCCTGAACAACTGGAATACGGTTTTGGGATATGCTCCGCTACAAATACATTGCAAGGCGACCGTAGGAGCATAGTTACGAATTATGCCCCCGCAAACCCTAAACCCCAATCCCCGCAGCCTAAACCCCAAACGCTGGAACCCTAGCCGCCCAGAAACACTAAACTAAACCACCTCCAAATCCTTAAATCCCAAGCCCCGAACCCTAAACCCCTAAACCCTAAACCCCAAACTCTGAAACCCTAAACTCGAAACCCTTGAAACCCTATGCACATCCTTAAACCCCAACCCCGAACCCCACGCCCCAAACTCTGAAACCCTAAACCCGAAGGGGTGAGTACCCCAGCCCAAAAAAGGTTAAAGAGAACCTGCTGAGCAGGTAAGAAACCCTATCCCTTAGGCTCTAAGGCCTCAGATTGTAAGGCTTTTGGGCCCAAAGACCATACTACATAAGGCTTTTGGGCTATTTTAAACCCTAAACCCCCAAACCCTAAACCCCAAACCCCTAAACCCCAAACCCCTAAACCCCAAACCCCTAAACCCTAAACCCCCAAACCCCCCTGAACCACTAAAGCCCCAAACCCCTGAACCCTAAACCCCAAACTCCTAAACCCTAAACCCGTACTTCTACTCCACAATGAACCCTCAATGACCCTGGCTATTTTGAGCCTTAGGAAACCGTAAACCCTAAGCCTCCTAAATATCACCCCAGGTGCAAACCTAGTTATTTTGGAGACTTATAAGTACCATAACCCCAATTGGGTACTTATAACTCTAAACCCACCTAAACCCTAAACCCTAAAACCCTAAATACCTAAACCCCAAACCCAAGGAACCCTTTTAGATCCCTTTAAAGGTATCCCTAATTTTCAGCCCAGGTGCAAAGGGGAGTTCGGATCATCCCTCGGCTGCGGCCGCGGCAGAGTCACGGGCGCGGGCTTCGGAGCGGCCAGGCCACTGGGCGCCTGTCGGACTTTGTTTCTTAAAGGGTTTACGTAACACGTAGGGTTTAGGAAGTTTAGGGGTTTAGGGTTGAGGGTTTAGGGTTTTAGGGTTCAGCGTTTGGGGGGTTTAGGGTTGTGTGTTTAGGGGGTTTAGGGGGTTTAAGGTTTTAGGGTTTCAGGGTTTAGGGTTCAGGGTGTCTAGGGTTTCAGGGTTCCAAGGTTTCGGGTTTCAGATGTTTTACGGCTTTGGTTGTCTAGCGAGTTGACGGCTGTGAAGTTAAGGCTTTCGTCACGAAATCTAGAAAAGCTCCAGACGAGTTTTGTCGGGTTTTGTCATGACGGCCTTAGTGGGTTTCCCTTCCCGGCTCCTTTGCAAGTCTGGAAAGGTCTAGAACATCTACACTTGAGCGCTTCATCTAGGTAAATATATGGGGTGTATAAGGTCCCAGAAAGCTCCCTCTAAGGGCATTGATAGGTCGCCAAGAGTTTCGGGTTTAGTTTGCTTCTTGCTGTAGCCTTTAGAAAATCGGCAGTGCTTCGAGGCTCAAACTGGATGGTTATGCTGCCCTACACCCTACCTATAGTCTCCATTGTAGGTCCTTTTTGTGGTTTCACCAGTTTTATATTAAGGATCCTAAAAGGTAACCCCAAAAAGGAACTACAATGGATACTATATAGGTAAACCCTAAACCCGGAAACCCTAAAGCCCAAAACTCTTAAAACTATGGGTTTTGCAAGCCTTTGGATGGCGTGGGCTGTACCAAATGCAACCGCTCCCCGGCCCCTCCACCCAAACAAATGACTACCCTAATGCTCCTGGACCCTCGTAGTCCGTAGTGAGATCCCAAACTTTAGCCCCGAAAGCACAAACTCTCCCTCAGAAAGCCCCTAACCGTCTTAGGAGCCTTAGACTCGTGTCTAGGTAGTGCTTTTGTAGCTGGCAAAGGACATGGGCGTAGGGGCGATATTGTCGTATAGTCATGTGGTCACTACGTGGCACTGAGGGATCACCACTTAACACCCAGATCTTCGTCTAATACTTTACTATCATCATCATGTCCTTATTAATCGTCTGAGCCTTGGGGGTGGTTGGCCGGCCAGCGGGAATGGTTTTGCCAGCCCCCTTGATGCCCGGCGAGCGGATCGACGGGCGCATGGCGGCGAGGCTCCCGAACCCGCCAGAAACGTCGCTAGGACCTATATACCCTACCATAGAAGTACAACTACCAATATGGTGGGCTGCCAGGCTTTGCAGCTGCAACTTACTTAACCAGATCTTCTTTCAGGTTTACATGCTTCATGGTCCTACCAGACAGAACTTTGAAGCCTACTGTTCTTGTTACTTTCTTACCTCCTAGTGGGATTGAAACTTGAAGGTTCAGATACACGTGATTGTGTCTTGTAGCTGCAGAGTCTTTCAGTGTGGGAGTAGGGCTGCTGTTAGGGGAAAGCCATGTTGCTTGGGGTTACCGGCTCACCGTGCCTATTCCAGCGCCCGGGACAGCATGAACCAAAACTCCTTCGACAGCGTTGCCCATCAAAAGGTGCACGACCAGAGACCTCGAACAACAAAACCGGTAGTCCCTAAACCCTGAGGCCCTAAACTTTAAACCCGCAGCTCCCTTCAGGTTAACGGCGAAGTGAGCATGGGATCCGAACAGCTGAATCCTGTGGAAACCACGAGTTCTAGCAACAGGCCTGATGCAAGGCACACGTTACGTGGGTGAAAGGGGCCTAGATGACTAGAATAGGGTTGGGTTGAAGAGGTCTATAAGGGATTCGGTACGGGATCTATAAGGGTACTATACTAATATGGGGGGGGTCTAAGTAATTAGAGTAAGGTCTTGGGGCCCATTATACTGTCATTCTAAGAAGGACCCCCCCGAAATGGTATAGGTAATGAATAAGGCCCCTATATTGCAAGGGTAAAAGGCGGGACCCCTAGGTACATACCCTTAATATAGCCACTATATACCCATGTCAAAGCCCCATTATAGGGTAGGGGTCCACATTAAGGGTCCCTCCTTTTCCCCTTCGAATATAACTTGGGTGAAGGCTTTAAGGTGTATGGCCCCAGGGTTGGACTGAGCGGATAACAAACAAGGCCCCTGTTCCCTACTTGGAGGATCATGGGACTTGGTTTGTAAGGTTATATGTACCTTAATTGGGCTTATAAGTAGTTATAAGTATAGTTACCCTAATTATAGCCCTAGTTACTAAGTCCCATGATCCTTTAAGTATAATCCCGTGAGAGCAAAGACGAGGCATTCCTTGATGTTTTCTAAGTTTCCCAGTAGGAGGACCCCCAATGGCCCTTTACTTAAAGGATCATGGGACTTAGTAACTAGGGTTATAATTAGGGTAACTATACTTATAACTACTTATAAGCCCAATTAAGGTACGTATAACCTTACTTACTAAGTCTCATGATCCTCCAAGTACTGGAGCCCTTAAGATCCTCACCAGTGGGTAGTATAATAGTGGGTGGTTGGGGGGTCTAGGTAGCCCCTCTATCACAAGGTACCTTTTGTCCTACTATACTTTTGGCTTCAGCAAGGGAGCCAAAAGAAGAGAAAGGGCAAAAAGGCGACTAACTCCCATAGATCCCTTCTGGAACCCTTCAAGGAGCCTTTTAAGGAACCCTCTACGGAGCCCTTTAAGGAACTAGTAAAAGGGTACTATATACTGGCAAACCCTAACACAACCATACTCTCATGTAGGGGTATATGCTACACTCGTCGTATTTTCGACCTCCATGTCCACGCTACAAGTTTCTGAACTCCAAACCCTCAAGCCTCAACCCAAGAAGCTGTGCCAGGACCCCCCCATGGCCCTTTAATGGAGACCTTATGATCCTTCATAGTCGGTATTTGGGGTATAATGGAGGGTAGTTGGGGGGCAGGCCTAGGTGTGAGGGCATCTTGCGACAGGGCTGCTCTTCCACAGTGTAGTCGAAGAGACAGTACCTCACAGGACTTGGCATCTGCACCTACATGCCTAAGATTAACGACCATAAGTGCTCTATTGAATGGTACTTGGGAGGTCCTGGTAGGGGCTGATGGCTCAGGGGCTTAGCGCCAGGCCTAGGCTTTGAAGTGAGGGTTAATGTAGGAACCTGCTTAAGAAACCCTGGGCCTAAAACCCCAAAACAGTGGGATTCATATAAGGAACCCTAATAACGGCCCAAGGTTTCTTAATCGGGTTCCTACATTAGGGTTTAGGGCTTAATTAGGCGGTTTATGGGATTTAGGGCTTGACTAGATTAGGGATGTAGTTTCTGCGGAGTACCCACTGGAGGCTCTCTAGCTATGCCGGGCCACTTTCGGTGGAGCATTTTGCGTAACAATGAACCGGTTCTCAAAAGCAAGAAAGCACTAAGGGCCCTCAGAAATTAATTGGTGCTTAACATACGGTTTTGAGGAGATACACTCCGTAAACATGTTTGGACTAGATAGGAGGGGATACTAGTATATACCAACTATTAACTATTCAGACCATGTATTGCTCGAACGATTACAGCCCCAAAGGCTCCATGTACCCATATGGTAGGTACTTAGGCCTAAAAGTGCCCATATAGGGACCCCTTTAAGGGCTAAGTACCTACTATATGGGCACATGGAGTCTTAGGGAGCATCCAGACATGCATCTGCGCATCGGAACCCACGACTGATGACTGAGCAGCCTGAGTTGAGGGTTTACCCTAAGGCCCCAAAGTAGTTCCTTTTTGGGGTTCGGATATAGAATCCTACAAGGAAATCCCCAAAAAAGAACTACTTTGGGGCCGATGGGTAAGGTTTAGGGTTTAGGGGGCAAAGTTTAGGGTTAGGGTCCTATCCATAAAGCTGGGTTAACCAGAGAAGGGGAATTACGTTGGAGAGCTGTAGGTATTCAGAATCTTGGCCTTGGGTCTCACCGGAGAGCAAAACTCGCTGCAAATCCCAAGCCTAAACCCACCAACTCAAGTGCAAAGCTGAGTGAAGGATTCCAGCACCGTCAAATTGTCGCCCCGAATCCTAGAAACCAACAAAGCCACCAAGCTCTGATTCACAATTCTCAATCCAATCAGCCCCCCCAACCCAAATAAAGTCCGTACATGACAAAACTCGTTACCCAAGCGCCCTCGTACGTGGGAAGGTCCCTTTTTAGGTCGCCCAAAGAGTACGGCACCCTTGCAAAAGAGGACTACTACTTCAGATAAGTATGACAAAACTCGTTTGATAGGCCCTAAACCCTAAAACCCTAAACCCTAAAGCTCTAAACCCCCTAAACCTTCGTTTGATAGGCCCTAAACCCTGAAGCCCTAAACCCCTAAACCCTCGTTTGATAGGCAGCATGCGATCCGGGGTTGACCAAGTTGGTCTTGAGGATGCTTCCTCGTCAATACTTATAGTGAACCCAAGAAAGTTGGATTATAGGATCCTTAAGGGAGGGTGGTTCAAGGGGGGAGGGTATAAGGAATCCTTAGGGGACTGTCAGGGAACCTTAGGGAGTACTAGGGAGAATTAGGGTTCACTAGGCTATATACCCCCCCTTGGAGCCCCCTCCCTTAAGGATACTACAGTTGGAACATGGATTTAGGATGATTAATGCTGGTATCCCCTATACTTTGGCTTTACGGTATTAGGACAACTGTGTTCCAAGTTTCTGACTTCTACTAGAGGGCCTGGACTGGACCCTAGCACCAAAGAAACCTAACCTTCTTAGGTATTTACGGTAGAATCATAAAACCCTATAAAACCTAAACCCCTAACCCTAAATCCTAAACGGTTGGTAGAAATTGTTTAAAACACCACAAAGGTAAAGATTATCTACTTAGCTCCGAAGGCGAAGGAGTTGTTTAAGTTTACCCAGACCTCCGGGAGGATCTGGAAAGTAGATCCTCTAACTTGGGGCCCTATGCTACTACAGGTACTTTATGGGAACCTCACCATTAAGGGATCTACTTTTTGGATCCTCCCGGGGTCTGGGTAGGGATTATGTCGTGTTTGTGCTAATCAGCTTGGTCTTGTTCTAGTAGTTACTACTGTAAGCACTGGCTTATCGTCGAGGTTGACGGTTGAGGGCATGGGTTTGGAGAGTTATAACGGTTTCGTTGTCCTGTCGGTGGGCTTTTGCCTGTTTCACGGCTGGGTGCGGGCTGCTTCACTGCACAACCTGCTATGTTGCAGGGTTGGGTGCTACTGTTACGGCTCTCATAAATCCTGCAATGATAAGAAAAGAACTCAAAACCATCAACAAAAGGGTTTTAAGTTAGGTTAGGGCTTTAGGGGTTTTGGTAATCTGAAAGCGGTCGGTGGAACCTATAATAGGGTTTAGGGTTTAGGGTTTAGGATAACAGGGATCAGACTTTACGGAATGCGAGCAGATCGCATGCTGCCCTATCCCACCATGGCCTTCCATGTAGACACCGTGGTCATGCATCGCTTTGTACAAAGTGGACCTTGGAGACAACAACTCAAAGCTTTTCCGGGCGATGGTGATAATTGCCATTACTCCCTGTAGCACCATGTAACCTGACTAACACAGGCTAACACTACAACATCGTCGAGATCATCATCACAACGCTCGCTCTCGTCATGACACTGGACCCTCTGGACGGTTTGCTGATCATCTGATCAATATAGGCTAACAGTACAACAGTGTCGAGATCATCAACACAACGCTCGCTCTTGTCATGACACTGGACGTTCTGGACGGTTTGCTAGTACTTTAGGGGAGGTCGAAAGACTAGCAAACCCAAAACCCTATAAACCTAAACACAAAAGCTCAAAACCCAAAGCCCAAACTCACTCCTCACTGCCACCAGTAGCAGAGACAAGCTAAGGATAGGGATCTCCCATATAAACCCTCTTACAATGAAGCCAAATAAGGCAGGGATATCCCTGTAAGATGCTTCTGCTTATGTCCTTTTCGGGTCCCAAGCAAACCCCAAACCCTACTTGTAAACCCTAAACTCTAAAACCCAAAACCCTAAATCCAAAAACCCCACTCCTCACTACTACTACTCCTCCTCCTCCTCCGCCTCCTCCTCCTCCTTCTCCTACTTACTACTACTACTACTACTACTACTACTACTACTACTACTACTACTACTACTACTACTACTACTACTACTAATACTACCACGACTACGACTACGACTACGACTACTACTACTACTACTACGACTACTACTACAACTACTACTAGGACTACTACTACTAGTACTACTACTACTACTACTACTACTACTACTACTACTACTACTACTACTACTACTACTACTACTTCTACTACTACTACTACTACTACTACTACTACTACTACTACTACTACTACTACTAGCAGAGACAAGCGCCGAACCCCAAACCCTATAAACCCTAAACCCTAAACCCTAAACCCAAAACCCTAAACCCTAAACCCAAAACCCTAAACCCTAAACCCTATAAACCCTAAACCCTAAACCCTAAAAAACGAGCCCCGAGCTGAACTTGCACGTTCACGGCCACCGCTGTCTCCAAGTCGTGGTCGCCTGGGGGCTCGGATCACTTAGTTCTGAGTTTAGGGGTTTTGGGGTTTGGTGGGTTCCTTTAAAGGGGTCCATAAGGGATCACTTAGTTCTGAGTTTAGGGGTTTTGGGTTTTGGGGGGTTCCTTTAAAGGGGTCCATAAGGGATCACTTAGTTCTGAGTTTAGAGCTTCGGGGTGTAATGTAAACCCCATATAGTTGGAAACCGGATTAAGGCCAAATAGTGCTGGGATACCCTATACATTACTCTTAAGGATTGAGGCTATTGGGTTTCCAACTTTTTGGCTTCTACTGTAGAAGTTCCTCTGAAGGGGTCTATAAGGGTTGAGGATTTAGGGATTAGGGTTATACGGTCATGCACTTCGGGTTTCGGGGTTTAGGGTTTGGGGGGTAGGGTTTAGGGGTTAGGGGTTTAGAGGTTCCTCTGAAGGGGTCCATCGGGGTTTAGGGTTTACGCTTATACACTTCGGGTTCAGGGTTTGGGGTTAGAGGTTGCATGGTTTAGGGTGTAGGGGTTTGGGGTTTAGGGGTTCCGGGTCTTGGGTTTACACGGTTGTTGGCTTATGGGTCTAAGGGTTTAGGGAGGACAGTCAGTGTGCACTACAGGTGTCTGGAAACGACGACATGAGATGTTCTGACCGGGAACCCAGAGCCCTAATCAAAATATCTTGAACCCCAAACCTAACACAAACAACGAACCTCACTGCAGCTTCATATGCGGAAGTTCTGATTCGTTTGGGGATCCTTAGCATACCGAACAGTTGCTCAAATGAAGCCTTCCGTTGCAAACAAAGGCAAGCAAAGCGGCAAAGGGGAACTCCTTCCAAGCTGCTCCGACGAAGTACTAACATGATGGCAACAGTATTCTGCATCTTCTTGTCCACTGCAAGGACAACTCTCGCTACCCGAAGGACTGGAATGCCCACTTTTGCCATGACAGCTGCTCTTTCTTCGTCAAAGACCGCAAAGTGGTGCATCAATTGCGTGCATACTGACCCTCGCGCTGGTAGCATCTTCGAGTCCACCGCAAGTTTGATCACACACTTTGGGATCCCAGAGGCTCCGATATCCGTTAAATAAGGAATGCTATTACCTTAAATTAGAGTAGGATCCCTAATATGATTAAAGGAGCATTCCTTAGTTAAGGGATCTTGGAGTCTCTGGGATGATGTTGTCGCCCCAAAGCGCCCATCGAGCAGCAGCATGTCATCCTCAGGGCTGAAAAACGGCGCCCCTCTTTCAACATCACGGTCCCGATGGTTTCCCATGCTTTCCCTGGCCCACACAGTGGGAGTTAAAACACGGTCCCCAGTTGCTCGAACAAATCTTTGTTTATGACTGGGAGCTTTGGGAGTCATTGACTCTTGGGTTGCTCTTCGGGGCCAGAAAGATGTGGAAGCTGCCAGCCTCGTAGGCAGGGTCCTTGTAAAGGCCGGGAAAAAGCCCCTTCCATAGTGGCCCGCAATGAAATTTTGCCTGTAAGCCCTTCCAAAGATAAATCCTCAAGCCCGCAAGCGTTAAACCCGAAACGCGCTTAGCCCTGAACCTTTGCCCTTAGCCCATGTGCCGCTGCGTAAACGCTCTGGTATTGAGATTTGCCGTGGACAAGGTTCTCTTGCGGTACCGTGTCGACTTAATTGTGGGGCTTTAATCGAGATCGAGGCCTTTCATGATGTGGGTGGTTCTCAAGATTAGGGTCCCTTTCTGGGTACCCTAAATATTAGGTGCCGTACTATAAGGACCCAAAAAGGGTCCATAATTTTGACAACCACCCATGTATAGAATCCCTACCAAAACGCATGCAGAAAGCCCTCTAGAGCTGATTCGAGTTTGGGCTTGCTGGATTAGACCCTAATCCCTAAACCCCTAAACCTTAAACCCTAACCCCTAAACCCCGAAACCCTAAACCCCAAACCCCTAAACCCAAACCCTAAACCGTTCAGCACACTATCGACTTCGGGGCCCTTTCATGATGGTTCAGGATCCTATATACCATCATTTAAGGTCTATTCCTTAACATAAGGGATATTGGAGTCTCCGGGCACCCTGTCGACTTCGGGGGCCTTTCATGATGATCTCCCTAAACCCACCCTAAACCCTAAAGCACCGACACCGACTTCGGGGGCCTTTCATGATGATGTCCGGCTCGACGATGGGAACCAGCCCTTCCTCTTGGCAGATCAGTGCCTGCGTGCGCAGGCTTCAGCAATTTGGGAGCTTCCGAAAATCAGAAGGGTCCTTGTCATACGGATTGGAGGAGAAAGGCTTCTGGCACCTTCTTATCAGAATCTCCCGACATTCCCGACGCATCTATCAAAGGGGAAAAGGAGGGACCCTTAGTAAGGACCCCTAGGTATATACCCGTAATATAGCTATTTTATACCCATTATATAACCCTTTTCCCCTTTGAATCTCAGCAGGATCAGCGCTTCAGTCTTGAAGGTTCGCAGGGCTTAGGGTTGAGACGGTTTGCACAGGGTGGTGTTCCATGAAAGCTTCGTGAGCTCGGAGGTACTACCATCATCCACAACAAGGACTGATGCCCGGTGCGATGACTGCCGTGTCAGACCAGATCCACCCTACATAGACCCTAAAATCCTAAACCCCAAAACCCTCAAACCAGATCCATGCAAAAGGACTCATTCAAGCTTCAGCCTGGAGAGTGTTTGGGGTTTACGGGTTTAGGGCATAGGGGCTTTACGGCTTATGGGGATTCAGGGTTTAGGGTTTATGGGTTTGGAGCTGTAGGGTTTAGGGGTTTACGGGTTTCGGGCTTTAGGGTTTAGGGGTTTACGGGTTTTGTGCTTTAGGGCTTAGGGGTTTAAGGGTTTTGGAGATTGGTGTTTTGGGGGTTTAGGGGTTTAGGGCTTCAGCTCAAGCATATCAGGGTCGGCTGAGGCTCTAGATTCAAGGATTGAGCGGGTTGATCCTCCTACTCCGAGGCCGAAAGCCAGCACCGGAAAGCCAACGCACTTTTAGCACAAGGTGTTGCATCGTCTGGCACCTCAGGTGCTTAACTGCTGGCACAAAGGGCCGTGCATGCAGTCCTACATGGAGCCTCACGGCATTGGACAGGATAGAGGGTTCCGAGAGTTGGCTTTAGAACATGAGACGGTCGGGCTTAGGGTTCCTAACTAGCGGAACCCTGCTATATACGACGTTGAAAAGAAGCCCTGCCGGATGCGACGCTCCGCACAACACTATATTGAGTCTGTCTTTGACAGACCTCCACACAAGAGACCACGAACCCTAAGACTCCAAGTATACAACTAGGTACCTGCTTTGAGGGTTTCAAGTCCATATATGGTACCTACTTTTGGCTATACTTGACGCCAGAAAGTTGGAACATGGATTTAGGAGAATTAGTGCTAGGATCCCTTAAACTTTACCTTAAGGGCATGAGGATAATGATGTTCCAACTTTCTGGCTTCTACTCTACTTGGAGTCTTCGGGGAGAGGGCCATGCCTTCTGGGATATTACTGGGTTGTGCTCTAAACACTTTGAAAATTGTCTATGAATAGGTTCCCTTACTCAGGAAATGAGGGGAATTTAAAAAATGCCCAAAGCACAACCCTGATTAGCATGGGAACCCAAACCCAGTAGACTTCCAAGCTACGGTCAGTATTTCTCATTAGGCTACTACGGGCTAGGGTTTCGGGCCGAGGTTTAGGGCTCTAACTGTTGATGATATAAATCCTGCATTACACATAGTAAAGAATATACCATAATTCCCATAGTGTAGGAATCTTAAGGTAATGCAGGATTTATATCATCAACCGTAATAGTAAGGTCCAAAAACCAAACAAACAGAGATTCTCCAAAATAGCCCTTAACCCTGAAACCCGAACCTACAGCCAAGTCCCTGATTTGTGGGTCTTTGGATAACTACCCTCGAATATGCCCTAAACACCCACTATTCAGGACCATAAGGGCTCTATTTAAGAGCTGTAGGGTTTAAGAGTTGAAGGGTTTAGGGGTTTCAGGGGTTTAGGGACTTAGGGTTTTGAGCCCTTGATCTCCGTGATATGGACCGTAGCTCAGGCGGACAACGGCTCAACTCAGATATTGATCGTCACACGGCCACTGAGAAGCACAAGGAGCCTCGTTACCGTGGTCATCTTCTCCTGACCCCAAGGGTCCAAAGGACCCAATAATAAGGTAGCTGGGTTATCGGATAGTAGTTATGTCGGCTCATATTTTGGGAGTATCAGGTACTTGGACCCTTGGGGTGAGGTGCTGAACATGGCCTGGGCTGTAGGGTTTAGGGTGTCAAGGGTTTAGGGCTTTCTATACTGAACTTGGAACCCTAGCAAAAATTATAATTGTAGCTGTTTCTTAGGGATTATAATAACCAAAAATTAAAAGTTATTTCTAAGTACCCCTAAGGTTTACCTATAGTCTCCATTGTAGTTCCTTTTTGGGGTTACCTTTTAGGATCCTTAATCTAAAATTGGTTAAACCCCAAAAAAGGAACTACAATGAGGAACTGTAGGTAGTTTAGGGTTTAGGGTTAAGGTTTAGAAGTAAAACTAGAAGTAGCGGCAGCAAAAGAAGTAGTGGCAGCAGTGGTCGCATAGGGGTCGTAGTGGCGGCAGCAGTGGTAGTGGTATCTGCACTAGTAGTATTCGTAGTAGTAGGAACTCTCGTCCTTCAGTTGATCGAGCTCTTCCTCAACGGCAACCTGGCCGTGCCCGTACTTGGTGATGAGCCACCTGAGACAGTTCTGAGTGTGCTTAGGGTTTTCGGTCTTTGCACCAGCTCCCCCGAAAGCAGATTTCGACGAAGACTTACGGAAAACCCCTTGCCCCGTCAGAGTAATTTTCGAAGGGCAGAATGGAATCTAGCCTCAGCGAGTGGATATGCCTGCTGCCTTTTAAGAAGTCGGGCAAGGGTCCACTCAGGTCAGACATTCTCGGGCGCAGAAGAGAAATTGACTTGCACAAGCTTAGAGATCAAGTCTGTGAGCGTAGCTAACAGGGCTTATGGCAGAGGGTACCCTAGCCCTGTTGAAAACTAGTCGATGCTGACATGGTCGTCGGTGTGAACCTTCCAGCCTTTTTTGGACAACCGCCTCATTGCGAATACTGCTACTGCTGCTTGTCCTATTGCTTCTGCCACTCCATCCCCTAAACGGCCTTAAACGCTGTATACTGATAAACCCTAACCCCTGGCAGCCCTGAACAAGGATGCCACGATTATCAGCCGGTGCCAAGCGACCTTTGATCTTGGTGCACTTGCGCAACATCCATTGCCGTGGCTCCACCCCGAAATTTCAGGCAGCCGTAGAAGAATTCTTCCACAGCCTAAAAGCTTCAGGGCCGCGGGGTTTAATTACGGGGTTAGGTTTAGGGTTTGGGGTTCATTTAGGGTTCAGGCTTTATTGCGCTTAGGATCAGTCTCTCCGGACCCTAAACCCCAAACTTGTCTGCATATGCTTTCGTATGCAGGGCGGTGCCCACAAGTAATAATATACGGATATTGACGAGAACTCGAAGCAACAGATCAAAACATAAACTGGGCGTTCATAATCCCTTGAAACTTGTCTGAACAGATCCATAAACTAATCAAGTTATCTGAATTTATTGCACCATAGCAGCTTGTTGATTTTTTGAGATTAAGGATTAAGCTCTTATGATGTTAAGGGCTGAGACTGAGGTCCCGCCACAAATTCACATCTGCGAGTTCGCTTGCCAACTGACTCGGATTCATCCCCTGCTCATCTCTCTCTCTCTCTCTCTCTCCCTCTCTCTCTCTCTCTCTCTCTCTCCCTCTCTGTCTCTCTCTGTCTCTCTCTCGATATTACATACGTTGTATACATGTGTACATATGTGTGTAAAGATTTTGTATATATACATATACATATACATATACATAAACATATACATATATATATATATATATATATATATATATACATATATACATATACATATACATATACATATACATATGTGCATGTATGAAACAGCCTTACATACTATAAAAGGCCTCTTCTAGTGTGGGATTCGGGTTCAGGGATTAGTCCGGGATTAGTCTTCCCGACACCCCGAAAGCCTAAACATCCATGTTGGCCCCCTCATCCCAGGACTGCCAAGGAGCCAAGCCCTCCACCCCGAAACTTTGAACCACGGTGGTCGGGTCTACTTAGGGGCTGAGTACCCTGGCCCAAGCCAAAAGAAATTAACCTTTTGGCCCTTAAAACCTACGCCCTAAACCCTATTACCCTAAACCCTATACCCTAAACCCTACACGTAAAGAGTTGAAGCCATGAATCCGATGCACGGTAACAGTTTCAGGACTATATGAACCCCAAAAGCTTTAAGGTTACCTACTCAGCTGCTAAGTTCAGGGATAGTGCTCCGGGCCGGCAGACAAAGACTCTCAAACCAAGTATGGGGCCTTGAGGCCTAGATTGCTTCCGATTTCCCGTCAAAAACCACAGGCACGTTTCCTGCTTAGTATGTACATAAAAGCCCTAAGACCTACACCAGTCTTTAAACCGAAAAACCGACCTTTTTAGGATATATATATATATACACAGAAACCATGATAAGGAACCCGTCAACAGGTGTAGCTTTTTGGGGTACGGGTATATGAAAGAGCTCCCGGAGCGACGGCGCACGCCACGAGCGAAACACAGTCTTGAATCATATGGGTGGTTGTCAAAATTATGGTCCCTTTTTTCGTCCCTATGTTAATACGGACCTAGTATTTAGGGTAATTACCCAAAAAGGACCCTAATTCTGACAACCACCCCTGTAGAAGCGTGAATTTCAAGGTTTGGGTTGAGGAGACTTTGGGTGGGTGGGTGGGTGGGTGCGTGGGTGAGCGCACGTGTTTCACCAACCGGATTGGGACAAACTCCGCAAATTGGCAAACAGCACTGCATGTCCCTGCTGGCTCGCTGAATCCTCTCTTGCAATACGATAGAAACTTGGTCCGGTTTCCCATTGACTAAATTTTCCTGGTTGCGGGTGAGACAAGTCATATGTAGTTCGATTCAGCACTCACTAGTAGCTGACCCACATTATTCTATGTGGGTAGTTATCAAAATTAGGGTACCTTTTTGAGAACCCTAAAAATTAGGTGCCGTACTACTATATTAGGGGGACCCAAATAAGGGAGCATAATTTCGACAACTATCCATGTGCTTCCATGCAGAGACTCTGTTCATGTTTGGAGGGCATAGGTTTCACGGAGGCTTTGGAGCCGTACCTATACTCTCCATTGTAGTTCCTTTTTTTGGTTTAACCATTTTTATATTAAGGATCCTAAAGGGTAACCCCAAAAAGGAACTACAATGGAGACTATAGGTAGAGTAGAAAGTTTGGGCTCTCAGGCTACCGGGCACTTTTCCTCAGCTTTTAAGTAACAAGGGAGAAAAAAGTATAAACTGCTGTTCCATAATGGTTCCATTAAGAAATAGTATTAAAGTATGGCACTCCAAAGCCCAGTGTCGAAGTGTAGGGCTCATGCTGACTCCTAAACCCTACCTGGACCCCGAGTGTTGGGTGCAGGATTTAGTGTGGGATGGTGAAAGTTGCGGCATCAACAATATAACGCCTTAATAAAGAGAGTGTGGCTCTAAGGTACATTGTGATTGTATGGGGACGATAAGGGAATTGGACTGTTACTTGTCATGTCTTATAGCTTCCATGTTTGCTGGTATGCCAAGTCTCCACAATGCCATCTCCATCTTGATCCAGTAGCTTGAAAAACGACCAGTCATCGCGAATATCCAGCCCCAAGGTTTCGAAGTAGGCCTTGAGCAAATCAAGCGGTGGTGGCATCGGAAAAACTAACTTTAGGTGATGCCTTGTGATGTAAGGTCTTCTGCGATTTTGACAATCACCTGTTGGATGAGATGTACGGAAAGAGGACACTTGCAAATGCATAAACCCTAAAATTTAAACCCTAAACCATTGGCCGCCCGCGCCCGGCGGCGGCCGGTACCACTGAACGCTACCGCTTCGAGATCTGCTTGCTTGGCCAAGCAGATCGAGTCTACCAGACCTGATTTGGCACTGCTAGCCATGGGGCACAATAGTAAAATTGGGTACCCTTATCTCCCAGCGCGAGAACCCTGGCGGGGACGGGACCTGGTAGAAAGAGCTTGACGAGCGACCCTGGCGGGTATGGCGGGCGACTCTGGCGGGGACGGCTGACGACCCTGGCGGGGACTTGGTGGACGGACGACTTTGGCGGGGACGGCGACGCGACCCTGGCGGGGACGTCGGGCAACCCTGGCGGACGACTCTGCTGTGACAGCAAAAGGGCCAAAAACAGCTTGGCAGACGACTCTGGAGGGGGACGGCGGACGACCCTGGCGGGGACGGCGGGCGACCCTGGCCCTGGCGGGGACGGCGGGCAACCCTGGCGGGGAGGACGACTCTGCTGTGACAGCAAAAGGGCCAAAAACAGCTTGGACGGCGGACGACCCTGGCGGGGACGGCGGGCGACCCTGGCGGGCGGGGACGGCGGTGACGACTCTGGCGGGGACTTGGCGACTCTGACAGGGACTGAAAAAGCCAAAAACAGCTTCGCAGACGACTCTGGAGGGGATGGCGGACGGGACGGCGGGTGACCCTGCGGGGACGGCGGACAACTCTGGTGGGGACTTGGCGATGACTTTGACAGGCACGAAAAGGCCAAAAACAGTTTGGCAGACGGACGACCGTGGCGGGGACGGCGGGCAACCCTAACGGGGACGGCGGACACTCTGGCGGGCACTTGGCTTTGACAGCAACTAAAAAGGCCAAAAACAGCTTGGCAGACGATTCTGGAGGACGGCGGACGACCCTGGCGGGGACGGCGGGCGATCGTGGCGGGGACGGCGGACGACCCTGGCAAGGACGGCGTAAGGACCTTGGCGGGGACGGCGACCCTGACCAAGCGACCCTGGCGGGGACGCCCAGTTCCTCCGAAAAGAGCTTTGCGGACAACCTGCGGGGCCCGTTCGTCGTCCTTCTCTTTGAAGTAAAGACGCAAAACAAGCTTTTTCTGGTGTGGACGGTTCGTCGTCCTTCCCTCTGAGGAACAGGCCAGGCAAACAGCGACCAAAGTCTGGCCACACGGTTTCAACGCTCAAAAAATACGGACCCTGGCGGGGACGGCGACCCTGACCAAGCGACCCTGGCGGGGCAGCGGTGTGACCCTGGCGGGGACGGCGGACGACCCCTTGAAGGACTCGTGGACGATCCAGTTACTCCAAAAAGAGCTTTGCGGACAACTCTGCAGGGCCGTTCGTCGTCCTTCTCTTTGAAGCATAGACGCGAAACAAGCTTTGTCTGGTGTGGACGGTTCGTCGTCCTTCTCTGTGAGGAACAGGCAAGGTAAACAGCCACCAAGGTCTGGCGTCACGTCACTGTACAGGGTGTGTCACAGTGCCGTGGCCAGGCGGAAATGTCCGTTTCACGTCTCTGGCGGCTGACGACTATAGTTTGACGGGGACGGGACGTCCTAGAAAGAGCTTGGGGACAGTGGCCGACTCTGGCAAGGAGCTTGGAGTGCGAGTCTGGCGGCAAAGCTGGACAATTCTGGCACGGACTGCCGGGCGAAAAAACCCTGGCGGCCGACTGGATGATCAGCACTCTTGGCCGGACTGGCACGGACAGCGGACGGCTGCAGACCACTTCTGGAGGCCTGGCACTGGGCCCTGACGGACGACTCTGACGACGGCTGACGGACGACTCTGGCGGCCGGCGAGGACGAGCGAGGGCGTCGCTGCTATTTTGTGACTACATCACTCGGATGTCCCTTTGACGTTCCGCAACATTGCAACGTCTTTTCGGCTAGTGCAGCACTCGAATAAGAAGAAGCAGAACACAAAACCCGTTCTAGTCCTGCTTCGGGTGGTTGTGGGTGGGTTCCACGTTACGAAGACGGCGCGACCCACGACCACTCCATGGGTGGGGCGCGCCGTGGCACTGTGACACAACTCTACACCCTAAACCCTAAACCCTACACCCGAAACCCACAGCCCAATGCTGTTTCTGCTCAGAATCGCCAGGCTTAGCCAAGACTACACGTACAAGGAAAGTGATTCCAAAAACTCCAATCTAAGCTACCTTGACAAAGGAAAACTCACTCCTGACATCATATTGGGGGGGGGGGGGTCCTAATATATATTTAAGGGCTATTCCTTAAATCATATTAGGGACCCTAGTATAAATTTAAGGGATATTCCATAAATCATATTAGTGCTCCCATTATAAATTCAAGGAATTAGTTGCGGGATACTGGAGTCTGTGGGAGTCTTGAAGCTCAAGCCCAAGACCCCTTTTGGGGCTGGGAGTTCTCGAGGGCATCGTGGATTCATGCTCAGACCGTTCTCCTCCCTCCTGTCCAAGAACCTACTTGGAAGGGCAGGGGACTTGCTAAGGGCTCTTAAAGGGCTCCTTAAAGGGATCTATAGGGTCTTCTTAAAGGGGTCTATGGGGTTTAGGGTTTAGGGTATACTTGGAAGGGCAGACTTAGTAAGTAGGTTATAAGTAGAGTTATAAAAGTAGAGTTATAAGTACCCTAAAAGAAGTTACCCCAATTATAACCCTACTTATAACCTACTTACTAAGTCCCCTGCCCCTCCAAGTAAGGAGGGGCGGACAAGAGAACCTTGCACAGGATTTCTACAACCATGAGAGCGAGAACCCAGCGCGTGTCAGAAAACTAGGCCAGACCACACACCCTCAAACCCTTAACCCCCAAACCCTAAGCCCTTATAACAGCTCTATTAGAAGGGGCCCCCACCCTGTAATAGTGGTATAATAGAAATATAATAGGGCCCTAATGTGATCCTTCTAGTCACTATTACAGGGTGGGGGCAGCTTCTAACAGCTCTAGTTCACAAAGTAAGGGCCTACATTGTCGGGCCAACCTTAGGACTGCATGGATACAAGGGAACAGGCGCACCTGCCGTGGCCGGCCGCTTCGAATTCAACTTTCCCCAGTAACACGAGGGTACCATGTTTCCTACTATTCCGGTTCGACGTAAGCAGATCACAAACTAAAAAAGAGCAGAAGGTACTACTGAAAGACCCAGAATTGAAGGCTCCTTTTCTGAATCTTTAGGGCGTCGCTACAGTCAGGATCTGACTAAGACTACCTAGAGAAGAAGGTTCTGTCTCAGGGGTTCGATATTCAACCAGGGTTCCCGAAGCATAGCGAAACAGCTTCTGAAGGCTTATCTACTGGGATTGAGTGTTCTGAAGCTGACGGTTTCTGGCCGGCTCGCACGCCCTGCCACGCCCTCCCTCTTAATACTATAATATGTATACGTACATATGTACACATACATATATATATATATATATATGTATATATACATATATAAATATTAAAACAAATATTCAATAATAATCGCAAAGGTTGGCGGGAGGAGTGGGCGCAATGAACTATAGTTTAAAAAAGGAACCCTGCATGAACACGTATTGCCTATAGTCTCCATTGTCGTTCCTAAATTTTGGTAAACCAAATTTCTAGTATAGGATTCTAACAGCCATACGTATTAATAGTGAAGTGCCCCAGCCCCAGCTGTAGGAGATGACCTCCAAAAACCCTGAAACCTAAGGCCCAAAATCCCTCAACTCCAAAACTAATCTCCATAAAACCTGAAATTCTTGTGCCGGCCTAAACCCTAGACCAAAATCCTAAACCCCAAACCCTAAGCCCTAGATCGACAACCATAAACTCTAACCCCGGCCGGTCCGGACGAGTTGCGCGCACTGCCGGCTCTTGCACCCGTTCTTGGAAGCCGTGGAAAGTAATGCCGAGATCCTCGGTTCAGGGTTTGGGGTTCAGGGTTATTTTTTTTACAAAAAAGAACAAAACAAACACAGAACCCTGGGGGTTCAGGGTTTTAGGGTTGAGGGGGTTGGGGGTTTTAGGGTTGGGTTTTAAGGTTTAGGGATTTGGGCTTGGGGTTTAAGGTTTGGGGTTTAGGGTCACGGGTTGGGGCTTTAGGGTTTAGGGTTTTTAACGGTCCTTTCCTGAGCCTTAGACCCTCTGAGGGCTATTCGGGGCACCCCTATCATCTGCATTATCTTAGGGCCGTTAAAAGGACGTTTGAAACAGAGCACTGCGAGTCCTAAGAGCTGAGCAGCAGTCGTTGGGCCGTTTCCTTCAGAAAACGAGCAAATAGACACTTCGCTCATGATATCGCTTAGTATGGAAACCCATCAGTAGCACCCTAAACTCCTAAACCGTGATGCTCATGCCCCTTCAATGTACCAAGCAACATCATGAATCTGACGTTCGATTTAGTTTCTGGTTTTGGGGTTCAGGAAGTTTTATCATATTTGATGGGAAGGCGGCTGGCACGCCACTGAAGAACAAACAGAAGTTTCGAACGCCATGGTGCCCTGTTAACCGTGCACCCTAGGGAAGAACCTTTTTGATGCGAAGCAGGGCACACGCAACCGGAAAAGCATAAGCATACTCTCTTCGCCCACGCGGAAAACTAGATATACGCACTAGTACTACCAATGGGATGCAGTTTTATGTGCGTACTCCCTGACGGCACTAACCAAGCCAGGCCGAGGGTCGGCTTGGCCGATCTCGCAGAAGAGCTCCTCTATGCGTTTCAGATGAGCCTGGCGAAGCAGGGGTACCGTGGAAGGATTATTGGGACTCCGGATTTCTGAATTAACTTGCAGCCTGGGAAAGGGCGCAGAGATTTTTTTGTTTTGGTGTTTACGGTTATAGTTGTTGTAAACCACTGCACACACGCACTGTTGTATATACCCGTCCAAGTGTTAACAAGCACAGCAGTATACCATTGGGCATCTACCTTTTTCCTGTTAGAGCACTTGTGCCACAACGTCACCACACAACATGCTACTTCACACGTGCACAAATTACACCCCCCTCGCCGAAGCGTCAGTCTGAGGCGCAAACATGCACGGAAGCTTGGTGCTGTGTGGCCTGCCGTAAAGGCGGCTGGATTGTGGCTCGGGGCTCGTAGGCTTTCTACTACCGTAAAGCGGAAGATACGGCAGCAGATTAATTCTTTTAGCGCGCAGTTTAAAGTCGCGACATGCATTATAAAGTGGCGACGATCCAGCAAGCCTTGAATGTTGGCGTGGATACGAGTCGCAAGAACGTGTGCAGCGTGGGACGAATACATCATCCACTGGAGCTGCTGGCTGTTCGGATTTGTCACAAAGTGACTGCCAGGAAATGAAGCATGAAATTTTTCTGGTCTTAAGGAAATTCGGCCACCTCTAAGAGGGGCTGTATTTCGGAGTACCGGTTAACGTGACGGAACCACGAAATGTCGATCAGGTACTTAGTACCATCCTCGGGAACCGGAGGAGCGGTCATAGGGGTGGGACCCGCGTTGATAGCCTTGGTCCCACTGCTGCTGATAGCGCTGCTGCTCAGCTCGGCGTGCATCGGCCTTTGCTTGTGCGAGGCGAGAACGCTCCGCATTGCGTTGGCGTTCTTCATATGCACGGCGTGCAATTCCGACCTGTTCCGCGAATTTCCCACGGAGCCACTCAGTCCAGTCCTCAGCAGAATAGCCGAGTCGTGGATCAACGTAGAGTGCCTCTTCTGAGAAAGTAACAATCATCTTCACGATTTTGTGCTGGAGGAAAACATCTACGAATTTACGCAAACTGTATGCCCCTCCCAGCCACATGATGCAAAATGGATCGTCACTCACTGCGGAGATCAGGCCTGCCCTAAGGGCGGCTGGATTGCACTCGTGCAAATAGAGCAACCGAGCAATCTCCTGGTTCCTTGGCCCTTCGGAGCTTCCACCGTAGGTGCCGACAGCTAACTGTCGTTGCTCCTTCGAACGGCCATGGTTCGGCAGGGCAGCATGCGTAAGCACGTCTTCGATGGCCAGAAACTCTCGATCGTACCCATTGCCGATGGAACTCATAGTGTAGTCCACATCATTGTCGAAGCCGTGTACGATGCTTGTGTAGCCTCCTTTTGTCGCCATCTTCAACTGCTGCCTGGCCTTAGCCAATGCTTCTGCGTCAAGTGACGTCGTTCCGCGCTGTGTCGAGGAGTCTCTGGTCATTTCATGGATGACCTCCTCCGGCGTCAGCTGGGAACGCGGCTTGCCCGCAGTGGCAGCGGCGGCCTCTTCAGCGAACCAACGAGCTGTACGCACTTTCTTGCGTGCGTTCTGCTGGGAAGGCTTCACTATGTGAACGCCACAACTCAAGCATATCATCTGTCCCACAAGGTGTTGAGCACCGCAGTGGGGACATGCCCTGTGGCGGCCACCCGTAACGGGGGCTGGAGGGAGAGCCAACGGTGTCGACTCCGGTTGCGGTGGTGCCTGCTCATACATCGGCTCGACTTTGGCCTCTTCTTCCTCCTTTTTCACATCGCCTTCCTCTGGCTCGATCTCAATGTCGATCTCGACTGGTTCCTCCGGCTCAAGGAAACGCACTCGCTTTCTGGACTCAGTCGGTGCCTCCGGTGGTGAAGCGCCCCCCTGGTCCAATGTTGTGGTTTCCTCCGGAAGGAAGTCGGATGCTGTAGCGTCGTTGAGTGCAAGAGGTGCTGGTGATGATTCTGGTGGCGCAACCTCAACCTCAACTTCGACTTCAACCATTGGCTCGTCTGCTGTTGCAGACGCTGCTGCTTCGACTTCTTCATGGCCACCACGAAGTGGGGCTGAAGGTTCCTCCGGAACATCGGGGAACTGCTCCGGCTCAGCTGCTCCAGGATCGACGATGGGATCCTGGGCAGTTTCCGGGATGATTGTATCCTCCTCCTCGCTGGATTGGCGAGACCACAGAATGATGCCTTTGATCGTGTCACGAATGTAGAGCACGCAAGTCCCTGGCACCGGGTCGCGAGTGAGTATACCTTCGGAAGTTGTCTCGAAGAGGTACGCATAGCGGTTGACCTCCTGAGTGTCGAGTACAATTTCGTAAGGAAGGTTCGCTCGGCTGCCAGCTTTATTCTCAAGCTCGCTCAGAGTGGCTTTCGCGAAATAGTTGTGAAACTTGCCGCTCCGGTTGAACCCCGGCGTGAAGCCAGAAGAGAGAATATTGAATGCTGCATCATGCGTCGTTCTGTGGTAGAGACGCGGGGGAAACTCCCCAAGAGCAAGGAATGGCCTGCCTTGATAGGCGGCTGTAGGACCAAGCTCCTCACGCGTATCGTTCGTGAACCAATGCAGCGCAATGGAGGAATCGGTCACTTGGTCTTTGATGCGTTCGCTGTGACCATGCGAAGCACAAATCCAAGAGGGCCAAATGTCCGTCTCAATGAAGTCAGCACGCGAATCGGTGGGGAGGCCTGCCAAGTTAAACCTCGATTTGTTATCGTAGGCGACTATGGATAAGATACCTCGTGTTCCCAGATCCACACGGTGCTTCTTCCACATATGCTGAATGAGGTCTTGGATGCGTACCCATTTCCCGCGCCGTGAGCTGAGCTTCACGTTCGATCCTCGGACAGCACCTGTGAGGTAGCGCTCAACGTAAGGTTTGAGGCCCAACTCAGGGAGGTGGTCCTTCGGGATCGAGTCGGGGAGGATCTGAACGATCTCGCTCCCCTCCGGATCCTCTGGGCACACATCCTCGTCGACGAAGCCACACATTTCCATCAGGTCCAAGTCGTCTTGGTACTTTACCCCAATGTAGTCGTGTGGGCGAGCCCTTAATAGGCCGCTGGAAGGGTCCCGGTCCTTCTTGGTCATGCCCTCTTTTGCCGCTGACAGAGTACGGTGAGACTCCGTGCGGTAAGGGATGGCCTCGATGACATCGTCAAAGGACACCTCCGGTACGTCGCGAGGTGATGCACTGCCAGATGGGCCACCACTAAGTGGGGCTGGATCCTTCCGCTCAGCACGGGCACGTGCTTCCGCCTGCTCTTTCGCGCGCTTTTGCGCCTGTTCGCGAGCTGTGGCCCATTCCCAATTCAGGACATCCTGAGGGACCTCACGCATTCCAGTGACCGGAAGATCAGGTGGAGGAACATAAGGGGATTCCCATGGATCAGGGCATTCGTTCGCAGCTTCGCGAATCTCGGCCTGCCTTAAAAGGCGGCGGGAGAGCTGGGACCGATACAGTGCCTTGTCGAAGACATACTGCATGGAATACACCCGCGTTCCTTCTGGATCAAAAGGAAAACGGCGGGCCAGCTCGTCCAGCGTCTCTGCGGGCATCTTCGCGAATAAGTGGTCAGCTTGACACACTTTAATCCGCTGTCCGATCACAGAGGCCAAGGCTGCGCGATGTGTTGAGTCTTCGCGGAAGTGGTAGTGGTCGTGCTTCGGGATCTGGCATACGCTTTCTTTGAGAGAGGCGGTATATAACCCCCTGCTCCTTGCGTATCCGAGGAATTTTCGGATAGCTGTGCGGTACTCTGCTGGCAGCCCGTAGTCCAGTGGGTCGGCATCCGAGAGGATTTGCACTGAGCCCTGCAGTTGGCCTGCCCTGAAGGGCGGCTAGACGGCCAATCTCACCGCACACACGTGCGGCAATGTCCGCCCAGATCCCTTCTGCGGCAACGCCTTCAGGACCAATCTGCCAGTGTGGCGTCCCTGGGTCGACGAAAACTCCTCTGCGACCGCACAGTTCGTTGCCCATCCAAACAACAACGATATCGACCTCGAGATGCAAGGGGTTTAACGATTCGTTGATGATCTGCGGCAAAAGCGTGTGAACTGCCTCAACGATCGAGTGGAGGCTGCCTCCCCAAATCGCCTTTTGCCGGACATTCGTGTATTGCTGAAGGATATGACCAGGCCCCGTCAGAGCTTTAAAGTCGTCCGCCATCTCAACGAATGTTCTCGCCCCAGCCTTGAAAATGAGGGTAGAGTCGGAAACAATGATGCAGGCTTTTTCACGGCCTCGGCTATCGCCGGGCTGGAAACGCGACAACCCCTCGTCGTTGATCCGTGCCACCTTAGGGAGGGCCTTATAGCCATGATCAACATCTCCCAGACACGTAGACAAAGCGGTTTGCGCGATTGCGCCTGTGTAGAGCTGTTTCACGCTCTCTTCCCAGTCACGGTCTGGGTTGAGTCCGAGCTCGTGTCCGAAGACACCGGCCCACATATGGTAGTGAGCCCACTCCCGCTTGATTGAGTCACCCGATGCGGCAATCGTCGCTGGCGCCGACGGCTTGTTCTCGCCTTCTGCTCGCACTCGGGGATCACTGATCATCTCTGGCGTGCTCTGATGAGCCGCTGCACAGGGGCAGGCAAGCACCTTCCTAAAGTTCGCAAGATTAGCAAGATGTGAAGATGTGATATCCTCTAAATCATCATGATCTGCGGCTTCGTGCTTGTAAGATGCCTTAGCGATCGAATGCTGGTTTCCTGAGCGGAAGCTTTCCTTAGCACGGTTCGCAAGTGGCAATGCCTGGAGCCCTGCGCACACCAGATATGCGTTTTCAAGTCGTGCAATTTCGGCATTAATTCCGTCGAACATGAATTCGTCGACGGGCCCACACAAGAGAACACAGAAGTTACTGGAAAACAAGTGAGCCATTTCAACAATCTCAACAAGACTCCTTTGTAACCTCCTCAAGTCACCTTTAGAGAGCGATGTCATCACCACCGTGACAAGCGAAAGTGAAGTGATAACGACTGCTCCCCCCTCATCGCGAACAGAAG